AAAATAACTTTTTCAATTAACTTTTTGAAAAAAAAAAAAAAATTATACCAAACAGCTATCAGCTAACATTTAATTTACAAAACATCTTCTTTTTTTTTTTCTTCAATTAACTAATGTTATTAACTAGTTATACCCTCTAATTAACCCAACCAGTTAACAACTATTTACCAAATAAGACCTCAGGAGCTTGTAAACTAAAAAGGATGGGTTAATGTCGTACGTCCAGGCCGGGTTGTAATAAGTGATATAAACTCGGATTAAACCTTTACTCTAAAGTTAGGTTTTGTGGTGAATGTTTTACCAAGAGCTTTAATTATTAGCCGATCTCTTGTTGTCATTAATCTAATGAGCGACCATTTCATTATTTCAAAGTTTGACAACTCCATCATATTCATATACACGGACGAAATTAGCCATTTTTTTTAAGGATTATTAAATAAAACAGACATTATTACATAGTGGGTGCATTTCCTGTTGTCAGTGCAGTGTTATCTATCTACTCAGGCAGTGCACTTAATTAGTGCGTATCCTCTACGACATTACGTGAACCAGTCCGACAGCTACGCATGCATGTATCCATGCATACATATGAATACATTTCATTATTTCATGTCAAGAGTTATCCTTCCAATTCTCAGATTGTTACTTGCATGGATGACGAGGAAACTAGCTATAGGATGCAGTCACTACCTGATAATATATATATTGAGTAAACTATGTCATTATATAATAGTCAAACACTTTGTGCACTGATAACACTCGAGTTAAACTCCCATATGAGAGGTTGTGAGTTCGAGAACAGATACTACATTATAATAGAGTCAGTAGCAAAGTTCGACTAAAAGAGATGACTCTATGTCTCCACCCACTCATCCCCTCAGGCTTAATTAGATTCTTACACAGTTGTAAAGGAAGAAGGATAAAGTGAAATCTTATTATTTCTTGTGTTTTTTTTTTTTTTTCATGTTAAATTTTAACTTGCTAGAACTTTGTATATCTTGTATATATAATATTGAAAGATGATTAATAAAAGATTAATGGTTCTCTCTATTTTTTTATCACTCTACTTTATTGTATATTCTTATTTTCACGCGAGGATACTTCCAAAGATGCTCTGTGAATCACTGATTATGGTCTAAAATGACCAAAATTCCCTATATATAGTATTTTTGAAGGCAAATATACTTCCAGGCGAGTGGCAGACTCAGGAATTTTGTTCAGCGGGAGCAAAATATTAACAAAATTGATAATTAGAAAAAAAAAAATGAAACACTTAAAAAGTATAGCCATAAATAATGTTGGATATAAGAAAATTATAAAACACATCAAAACATTATAAAAATATTCATAACAAAATATGAACATAATCAATTTGATAAAATAATTTGAATAAAAGATCCATTATAAATTACACATCTCATCTCATCTCATTATTAATATATAAATGAAGATTATATTATTGTGTTGAAGCAATATGTACTAATTAATAGTGAAAATGTGAAATAATGAGAAAAGGTAGTGTTAATAGTGAAATAATAAGAAATGTTGAAAAAAGATAGAGGAGAATTAAACCCTAGACTGCATTCAGGACAACTACACGCTCAGCCAACTAGGCTAAACCACATTCTGTTAGCATTTCTCTATTTTATAATACATATACTAAAACTTGTACTATATATACACATATACATACAATGGTTATATAACGGGTGGGGGTGGGGTGAGTGGGGGCAGCTGACCCCACTGCCCCCTCTGTAGGTCCGTCCCTGTTCTAGACTATACATGTTCCCACCATCCAATCGAGCCCCTTATCTTCACATGGGAGTATGTGACTTGTGAATTGATAAATTGATTGATAACTTAATAGAGATATATAAATAAATAAATTATTCCGAATAATTTTCTAGCTTTTTTATATTGTAATTAATTTTGCTTCTTTTTTTAGAAACATGATGGAGGAAAACTCGATCAAGCCCTTTATCTTCTCACATTAAGAGAAGTAATACCTGAATTAATACTCAGCTTTTCTTCTTAAAAGGCTCTAAGAATTGACTTTAACTTAGATCGTTCGTTGAAACACCTTAAAATCCTCAAGCACACATGTTTGCTTCCTTTATCAATTAACCATCTTGTCATCAGTTGTGTTGTCCTATTTCGTTCTCTAATTAATTATGTTAAGGTAAACATACACTATTTAAACCGAATACCAAGAAGCTATTACAATATTAATTTACAATACGTTTTAAAAAAACAACATATATAGAACATCTAATTTGATTGTCAAATTTCGATTTTGCATAACCATTGATAGTAACTATTGAGAATTCCGTAAGTCCCACACACTCGGGATGAAGGTTTCTTCCTTTAACTAGTTTGGTTGTTTTTCTTTGAGGTGCTCCCTTTGATGGATTTCAAAAAAAAAAAAAAAAAAAAAAAAAAAAAAAAAAAAAAACAGGAGTATAGTGTATAAATTGTGGGGTTCATGGCACAGTGGCAAACATCATAAGCATTCGTACGCTATGAATAATCCAGCATATATATATGTTTTGACGAGGTGGTCGACGCAGAATTGAAACAACCACATTTCTCGTGCTCTGAATATGGATTTTAAGAATCCTTCAACCATTGAATTCCAAGTCCGTATCAAAGCATATAAGCCGCGCGGTCAAACGTAGTACTACATACACCTCACACCTTCTCTTCCTCACTACACTACTCATCTTTTTTTGAAAACCAAACTGCTTCATAAATCATAGTAAACCAGCAATACAAATGGGTGGAAAACCATCCCACACACCAAAGACAGATGATGAAACAGCCGCCCGTGCAAGCACATAATCAACATGATTGGCTGATCTTTTAACATGACAGATTGACAGACAACTATGTCCCCAGTATCACAAGCAATTATTAATATATTAAAAATGTACTTTTAATATTTTAAAAATATACATTATATTCAAAAAAAATTATTTAAGTAATGAAAGTACATTGAGTTAATTCCAGCAATGGTCCTCCGACTATATTGATTTTTCAAAATTAGACCCCGACTTTTAATTTGGACACTTTAGGTCCCTTGACTTTCAATTTCTTTCCAATTGAGGTCCTTCCGTCAGAATACAATTAATTGAACTTTAAATGAAGGGGTAAACTCGTCCTTTCACCTGCCTATGTATTATTCTTCATATTTCTCCCTTGTATAAGCGATATATATGAAGATAATCTCAGTCAAAGTCCTAGAATGTTCCTCGTCGTTCCCCATTTATTGACTGCCCATGTGTGCGTTTCTCCATTATTGAGATGTTTACAAGGTATAACAGCGAAATACGAAGAATAATACATAGGCAGGTGAAAGGGAGAGTTTACCTCTTCATTTAAAGTCTAATTAATCGTATTCTGACGAAAGGATCTCAATTGGAAAGAAATTGAAAGTCAAGGGACTTAAAATGTCCAAATTAAAAATCGAAGACTAATTTTGAAAAATCAATATAGTCAAAAGACCATTACTGAAATTAACTCTTATTTTATATAATATACCTTTTGTTATGATCCACACAATAATTTACCTGGTACCTATCAATCCCTCATCCCCAACTCTTTTCTTTTTTAATACTCCCTAAGTCTTATGTAAAACTATTTCAATTGCACAGTTCCAAGCAAGCCAACCCTGTTTTGAGAATGGCCTAGGGTTCCGCCTTAATTGCACTACATGTGCCATAATTACAACTTTCCAGCTAATCTCCAGTCTCATTCAATATATGCCCTCCACATCCTACAAAATTATGGGTGTAGATGGAATTTTTAATATTTTTGTGAAGAAAAAAAAAAAGATAAAAGAAAACAGATAATACACATATATTTAGAAAACAAAAAATAACGCTCACAGATAGTTAAGTTGATTTCTTAGTGAAAAATTACACCCAAAAACGCAGGATTGAATCTTGATAATTATAAAGAGAGAATTTCATCGTCTTATGGGGTGTCTCTTTATAGTTTGACACTAGACACTAATCTGTCATTTCATATAAAGGATCGCTAATAAGAGTGAAGTTTGAAAAAAATATAAAGAATTGCTAACTCACTGAGATTTAACTCATTTACGTCCTTATGAGAGTCCAAAAATGAGAGGTTTCGCTTGTTTCACCTATACAAAATAAAAAAATAAGAAAGAAATTTGAAATAAATGCAACTAAAAATTTTGCCAGCCATTAATAAATGATTTCATATTCCCCAACCACCTATTTGTTCTCTTTTAATTCATCGTCATAATTTCACTTGGACCATCTAGGTTTCGTCAATATCACATTAGACCTTGGTCATTTCAAATATTATATTTTCACCCATATATTTTTTTTTATCATGCATTTTAACTATGTTCATTGTTCACTACTATAGTTAAATTTTCAACATTATTATAATAAAATTATATGATTTATAATTATGAATGGTGAATAACCAATACTCAATTTCAAATTACATATACATTATTTATTTAAATAATATATTAAAAAAAAACATTTTGTAACCTTTTGTATAATAATAATAATTCATTATCTTTGCATAAAACACAAAATGAATTACTTTCTAGTACACAAGAGTATGGTTTACCTTGTACATGCACATTCTCAGATAGTGGTTGAGACTTTCCTTAATCATATCCAAAAAAAAAAAAAAATACTATACAAGTTTTCCACTTTTTTTTTTTGAGTAGTACTGACTTTATTACAATGTTAACACCTCCACGTACTGTGGATCGAACCCATGATCCCCTATTAAGGAGAGTCACTCCGTGCCACTAGATCACAAGGTCATTGGCAATTTTTTATTTTTTTATATGAACACTAAAAATAAATATTAAGCGGGCGCATGTAATTTTAATTTTATAAAATAATAAGGTTATATGCTTTAATATCACAAAAATGAAGGACCGAAGGTTAAATATTCATTCATTTGTTGCGCTTCCAACCGTAACAATAATTGTCTTCCTCAGTTCCTCCTTAAATGGTGTGTCGCCCACTCGCCCTCCTTACTTTAGTTCTTCTCGAATTGTTTAAGCTGTGTTGTTCTAAGGTTAGCTAGTAGAATTATTGAGAAGAAGTTGGAGAAAAATGATGTTAAGGGACGTTAAAGTGTTGGGTTTGGTGTTGTTGGTTGTTTGCGGCGGCGGCGGGGCGGCGGCGAAGGATGACTTGAAGGACAAGTGCGGGAAAGAGTCGCCGAAAGTGATGGATTGCTTGTCGTACGCGATCGGGACGGCGGACGCGCCGAGCAAGAAGTGCTGCGACTCGGTGTCGAGCATTAAGGAGACGGATCCGGTGTGCCTCTGCTACGTTATACAGCAGGTTCATAAAGGGGATAGCTCCGTCACGAGTCTTGGCATTAAAGAGGATCGGTTGCTTAAGCTCCCGTCCGAGTGCAAGCTCGCCAATGCCAGCACCACCAACTGCCCTAGTAAGTTTTTCCTCCTCTCTGCCCACACCGACAGCTCAGTTAGTTAGTTTTTGCGAAATAGCTAGATTATGAGCAAGGATAGAAGATGGAATCTTGCCTGTTGGTCGCAGTGTGGGGTTACACCTAATGTGATAAATGCTCTAATAAGTTTTTCCATCTCTGCCCATACTGGTAGGTCAGTTAGTTTTTGAAAAACAGATTGTGTACAAAGACACAATATGGAATCTTGCCTGTGGCAGTGTGGGATTACGCCCAATGTGGTGGATGCCCTAGTAATTAAGTTTTCCCGTCTGTCTCTGTATGCTCACACTAGCAGTTCAGTTAGTTTTTGAGAAATAGATTGCGAGCAAGGATACAAGATGAAATTTTATCCGGTCCGTCATGATGTGGTTGACTAATTCTGAATACCTGACACTAATGCTCGATTACTAAGCTACCATGATCTACACTTTCGCAATCCTGTCGAGTTAGAGTCGGAAGCGACTATTATACAAGGACCATTGTCCACTTCGGATCATTGGCATAAAATTCATTATTAGTATATTGAAGGTTTATTTTATGAAAATTCATTTTGTGTATTGAAATTTATTTTTAAGTATGTTATCAAAAAATGAACATTCATGACATTAAAAATGAACATCCGATGTACTAAAAATGAATATTTATATTTTGTCTATAGTTCATAGTATAATTTTTCGGTGTGTATGTGGAGACGTTATGGTAAGGGAATTTCGTCTTTTTTTGTGGCTATCAAAAAACCCTAACTGTATCGCCGCCGACGTGCTTCCCGGAGCATTGTTTGTCCGGCGCCGACAGGCAGGGAGCTTCAGAGGGCTACCGGCGCATGCAAGACCTAAGCATAATATGGACTCACCTGATTTTTATGTTTCCTTAATTGCAGAACTGTTGAACCTTCCGGCGGGCTCTCCGGACGCCGCCATCTTCACTAACGCTACAACTAGTCACGCCACTTCGAAAACCCCCGGCGCATCTCCCGGCGGCTCAACGTCACAGCCGGCCACCGCTGGCGGTGACTCTGGTGGGTCGTTCAAGCACGCCCCGCAGCTCGCCGGAGTGCCCTTGTTGGCCGCTGCCGTCGCCGTCGTTTTCTGGGCTTTTCCAAGTGTGGTTTGAATTGCAGGGTGATGTGTTGTAGCCTGCAGTACGTAGTTATTGGTATTTTAATTGTTCTAATTTTCTTTAATTAATCTCCATTTCCACTCTTCATGCTGTTTTAATTTGTACGTTGGAAAATTATCAAGAGCCTTTAATTTATTTTATGTTTTCTCAATTTATCACGTTAAAACATGATTGGAATAAGGGTCAGAGTTTAATTGAAGGGAACCGCAACAAAATAAAATAAAATAATTAAAGAGAGAAATCTAACAAGAAACAACATTACAAAAATTGTTTAGTAGTACTACATAGTTGTTGGAGCCATGATGACTAGCTACTAACTTACTACCATCTTAGCTGTATGCATTAAATAAATTTCGTTCTTATTTAATAACCTACAAATTATACAGAAGATTGATATAAACTGCATTAGAAAAATCATATGTGACAGGCTCGATCAAAAGAACATTTATAAGAATCAAATTTATAACCTTTTAAATTTTGATATGAAAATCATATTTACTCACTCGTTGTTTCTGTCAAGCAAAGAGTTATTTTAATTAATATTGAGAGAAATAATATGTGGTTGTTTCATTTGAGTTGGTGATGTGATGGCATTAATTAGATTTGGGTGAAGAGAAAATTATTGAATTTATTCAAGTACTATGGGGTTGTGAGGTGAGCAACATGCCAGATGAGAACAGTACATTAGCTTAAAATTATTCAACCAATACTTTAATATATGTGAAATTTTAATAGCCTTTAATATTTGGACCACATTTATATCCAAATATAATATAACTAAAAATATTCAAAAAAGAAACATAAGGACTTCACCCAAAATGTAAAAATTGATTATGAATTTGAATTTTAATTCAAATAAAACAAATAATGTCTTGCCGTAAGTGCATTTAAGTCAGTTAGGTTAGTGTAAGTAAATAGGAGTAGAGGAAGCTAGCGATGATAATTAAGTAAAAAAAAAAATGATAATAAATGTAATTGTAATAATAGATTAGATAGGTTCAACACACTAGACATTTCAAGTTGAACACGAAGCTTAAAAGAGAGTTTACGTTCTTCTATTCTCTTTTGTTCTTTTGCTTCTTGCCCATTGACAAACATTAATGCCACAAACAAGCTAGAATCGCGGAGTCAAGAATGGTCAGTAGGTAGAGTATGATTCTCATATAAAAATGTTACGAATTTGATTCTTACAAACACTCTCTTGGTTGAACTCATCGCATAATGTTTTCCTAATATGATATATTTTTTCTGTGTGATTTGCGAGCTATTACACATTAGTAGAATTTACTTAGTCTATTTACACCATTTAAATTGTGAATACTTAGTATATAAATGGTGTATTTTGGACTTGGATTTTTTTTATTAGACCATGAGGTGTTATGAGCAGACCCTAACTGTAGGATGCACCTTTAAGCCCGTACCATATTCAAACTAATCCCCGTTCGCACTGAGCCGGCCCAATTAAGAGGCAAAGTGTTGGCCAAATTAATTTTTCAATACGAGAGGGAGTTCAAACTCCCAATCTCTTTTAAAAGATGAGAGTGTACGACCACTCATGTCTACCAAGCTAGTTGAATAATATGTTGATTTAAATGTTACAAATAATGTAACTAATTAACTTGTTTAAGTGTGTAGGCTAAATATTTATAGAAATATAATATTGGGGAATTATTGTGAAGGTATTGTTTGTCAAATTCAAAGCAAGGTATACCGTCACAAAGCAATAGGATGTGAGTGAGATTTTAGCAGGATCCCAATAGTAGGAAGACCTCCCTATTGAATCGAGGTGTCCACCTATTTAGAATGATAATTGAGATGTTATCAAATTACATAGAAACACTTGAATAATTAGATATTAAAATTTTTGTTACTCAAAGGATTAAATTAAATTGCAATGTAAGAAAATTGAAGTCACAAAGTGATTAAAACTTTATAGACTAAAAATGACATAACATTTGTCAAGTCAATATATTAGCTCTAATATAAAAGCTAGCTCAAAAGTATAATTTTGATCCTAATTTGACACCTTATTATACTTGATCGCACCACAATTTATGATGTGCTAGTGGCACATCAACGTAACACGTATCTCAATTATCACTATTTTGTTCCCCTCTTTTTTTTCTTTTTTTTTTTAAAAAAAAAAAAAAAAAAAAACAAATATGATCACTGAAGTGGATGTTCCAATAGTCTAGTACTCACTTTGAACCACAAAATTGAACCGTGTAAAATAATCCTAACAATAGTATTATCTTAGAGCAACTACACCAGTGTTTTATTGTGATTTTTTGTTGTGAAAAAAACTTTGTGTAGATTTTTTTTTTGTTTGGGTGGTATTTACTCTTGCAATTTAAAAATTTTTTGTGGGGGGATGGAAATGAGAAAAAGCAGCAGTGCAATTCTCGCGTGTAGAAAATTGTTGCGTCCAACTGGGCACGTGAATTGCACGCGCTAACTGAGCACATAAAGAGATTGTTATTTATTATTATTATTTTTTTGTTAGAATTTGTTTTTTTTTTCCTCTTCTTTCTTATATGGATATGAAAAAATCAACAAAAAATGCATATCGAATAAGGTTACTCCAATCGTTATATCGTGCACCAGGGTGCAAAATGTATTGTGCGCCCCGCCCTGCACAAAACGACATCATTTTGTTAGGTTGTGTAGGGAGTTGACGCGCCGTAGTTTATGTGTATTTTGTTATACAATTTTGTACATTCTATTATACAATTATGTACATTTGAAACAGGAGAAGTTTATTAAGAGTTAAGAGTTTATGTGTATTATGTATTATGTTAGATTATGTATGTGTATTATCCTTTCAAAAAAGATTATGTGTATTCCGTTATACAATTATGTACATTCTATTATACAATTATGTACATTCAAAACATAAAATTTTTTTTAAGAAGTTAGGCAAATTATGCTGTGAGCACGTGCCCACCATGCACATGGTGCGCACGAATCTATATCTATAATATAATTTCTATACTTAGATCCATAATTTAGTTTCTAGAATCTCGGTGAGCTAAAATTTATACTTTACATTCCAATTGTTGAACCATGTTTTCACAAATCAGTGCAGTATAGAAATTATGGATCTACTGTATTTAAATTATGGATCCTACGGTTTTAGAAATTATAAATCTAAAGTATAAATTTTAGCTCCACCAAGAGTCTAGAAATTATGGATCCAGAGACGGAACCAAAAATTTGGGGGGGGGGGGGGGGGGCGAAGTAGTAGGGACGGATTCAGAAATTTTTTCCATTAAAACAAAAAAGATAATTAAAACAAAAAATAATTACCTAAGAAATATAGTTGTAAGTATTGTTCGATATGAGCGAAAAATAAAGCACATCCAAATTTTATAAAAATATTAATAACAAAATGTGAAACATAATTAATTTGATAAAATAATTTGAATATAAAACACATTATAAATTACACATCTTACTATTAATATAAAAGAATGATATATATATATATATATATATATATATATATACAATCTATCTATCTACAATTCTAATAAGAGCCAATAATGTTAGGCCCTTAACTGCAACAAAAAAATGTCGGTCCTATTGTTTCTTAAAATGAATGGTTCATATTATACTATTGTTTCTTAAAATGAATGGTTCATATTATTTTTATTTTAGTATTTTTTATTGATTTTCCTTATTTACCCTCTATTATATTATTTTCTTCCCTTAAATAACTTAAATTCCGTTAACATAAACTTTAGTAATGGAATATTCCGTTAAGTATTTATTATTTTAACTTACACATTAATTTCTATAAAAAAAAGTCTTAGTTTCGAACCACATCCTAATTAGAGTTGGCATAATAGTTAAACATATACAACGAATATGTTAAAATATATTTAAAATATATATAATATAAAATTTAACATAAACTTTGTTCAAATAATTAGTCTGACTAAATACATAACATTCAAAGTTAAGCATCAAAGGTTATAAATCAAGAACTTTAAAAATCATTTGATCAGAAAAAAACTTAATATTCTTTTGATTATTTAGATCAGAAAAAAAAACTTAATATTTCAATTATACTTTTGCATTAATATTTTTTGTATGTATTTTTTTTTTAAATCAATGATTGCATTATTGTTGATGAAAAGTATATACACCACTTTATTACTCTTATTAAACTAAATAAAGTAGTAGCTACAACAAAAAATAATACATATCCGTTTAATTAATTTTGAATTAGATGTCTATAATGCCTTTATTGAAAAAAAATTATTCATTATAAAAAATTTAAAAATAGATATAATTTCATTAGTTATATTATCTTTATTTTATACAATTCAAAGATTCATTACCTTCAAATTTATCAATTTATTATATTCACTGTATTGTCCATTGTCTTCTTTTTACATTATCTTGTAATTAAATATCAAAGTTATAATACAAAATACATTATATATATTTATTTACCAAGTATTTTATACAAATATAATAAATATTAATATTTTGTTCAATACTTTCACATGATAACCTACGACACACATCTCACAATACATGAAACATGTAGGGAAAAACTACCACTACCAAATATCGATTAGAAAATTCAATAAATATTATCTTGCATTTATATATTTTGAATTACCGATTTAAATAAAGAAATTCAATATTTATTTACATATGCATGAACTTCTCCGATATGCATGTCCACCTTGCAAGGTGGACACGGTTCTATAGCATAATTTGACAATTTGCCCACTTTATTGCTCTTAAACTAAATAAAGTAGTAGCTACAACAAAAAATAATACATATGCATTTAATTACTTTAGAATTAGATGTCTATAATGCCTTTATTTAAAAAAAAAATTATTCATTATAAAAAATTTAAAAATAGATATAATTTCATTAGTTATTTTATCTTTATTTTCTACAATTCAAAGATTCATTACTTTCAAATTTATTAATTTATTATATTCACTGCATTGTCCATTGTCTTCTTTTTACATTATCTTGTAATTAAATATCAAAGTTATAATACAAAATACATTATATATATTTATTTACCAAGTATTTTATACAAATATAATAAATATTAATATTTTGTTCAATACTTTCACATGATAACTTACGACACACATCTCACAATGCATGAAACATGTAGGGGA